GGTGACGATGATGATGATGACATTGTCAGTATGAATCCATGGTCAGAATTGAAACAGGAAGTGGAAGATGATATGAAAACAACTTTGGCTGAACAAGAAGAAGAACAGGAAAAAGAGGGGGCATCCGAGTATGACAATTCGCTCTTACCTTTAGCTAGGCGTAAGTTGCGAAGGTTATACTTGCATCGTCTAAAGTGGTATAACCGTATTAAACAGGATGAAATACATAGGCAAGTCATGCATACCGCTCGACGATTGATGAAAGAAGACGGTATGGATTGGGAGGTGGCTTTAGAGGCTGCCGAGAACAGGAGAAAATTCCTATTGAATCGTCTGATCAACAAACAGTTATTGGATGAAAGTGACGATGCTGATGATTATGATGATGATGATGGTGAAAAAGAGGAGGAAATGAACACTCTGTAACCACTGTAGTAGGGGGATAGTATGTGTGTATGTTTACGCGAAACAAAGACAAAATAAAATCATGTTGTAAACAATTTTTTGTCGAGTTTTATTTATGACCATACTAAGTTTAGAAATGTACACCATCTGCCAACCATTATTAGACACTTCTATCACATCATACTCTCTGGGTGTTACCTGAGACACCTCTGTGTTCGATTCTGTTTTCAATGGACCTGTCTTTGCAGACATGTGGTCTATGGTCATTTCTGGTAGTAAAGGAGGGTGGTGGGATTTTCTCTTTTTTAGCTAATAAGGACGAGTTCTCTTTGCTCGCTGCTTTCTCTTTTTTTAGAAGACTCTACATGAGAAGGAAATCATACATTTTAATGTATTTTATATTTCTACGATAATTGTCTTAAACGCTCAGACTTACTTGTTATCTTTAGTAAACTTCCATAGGTGATCTGGACGAATCACGATCCATTATCAAAACACTTCATACGCGAAAGAGTACAGCTCACGTTATGTCTCCAATCAATCTCTCCTCTCTCTTTCTCTCTCACGAATTGGCGATAGCACTTTTTTCTCTATAAAAATGTTTACTTTAGTTCAAATCTTAATTAAAAAAGAAGCTGTAACGCGCGAGTGTGATCACTAGCAGTGACGAAAGTGTTTTAAATTCTATACAAAATTCCGCGAAGGAAGGAAGAGGAAGAGGAGGAGAAAGAGGAAGAGGAGGAGGAAAGAGGAGGAAAGAGGAGGAAAGAGGAGGAAAGAGGAGGAAAGAGGAGGAAAGAGGAGGAAAGAGGAGGAAAGAGGAGGAAAGAGGAGGAAAGAGGACGAATGGGGAGGAATGAGGAGGAATGGGGAGGAATGAGGAGGAAAGAGGAAGAAAGAGGAGGAATGATGAGGAGGAATGGAAAATATACGATCCCACATGAACGAGATGGACAGTTCCGTTTCGTATATAAGAAAAATAAACATTTGGTTCTATATGACCGCGCACTTTGAATTATTATAATTAATATTTTAAAGTGTGCGTTCTTTTAAAGTTTGTTAGACATAACGGAGAAGGTTGTAAACAATATGATAAAACTCGAAGTGTCTACCTCCACACTCATTTCTTACCTGCTCTCGCAGAGTGCGGACGATGGCGAGTACTCAGGATCTTTCCGCGGTTCTAAAGTCGTATCGACAAAAAATGCATGCTGTTCATGCTCGCGTAAAGTATCAGGAAAATGTGTTGAAGGAATATAAAAAACATGCTGAGAATGGAACGATCCCCAAAAGATTGAAATCAATGAAAAGTTACCCTAAGATGCAAAGTCCT